TTCTCTGGAGATATTCCAGCCCCGCCTGGCCGCGGTGCTGTGCCCCCTGCTCTGGGTGACCCTGCTTGGGCAGGGGGTTGGGTGGGTGACCCCCAGAGGTCCCTTCCAACCCCCAACACTCTGTGATTCTGTGATTCTCCAGGCAGATGCGTACATCCAGACATCAGGGCACGCCGCAGCACGGCCAGCCCACGCGCGAGGCTTGCCCTGCACCCTGGGTGTTGGGGGGAGCCCTGCGAGATCTCCCATCTCTCATCATTTTTGGGTAAATCACAGGACCGGCCCAACTCCACCTCGACAGGACTGAGGCAGTGGTGAACCATCCGCAGCAGGAGGAGGAGGTGGGATGCTCTCAGCTCCCTGGCATGTGCCAAGCTGGAATCAGCTTCCCACCTCCCCTGGTGCTGGAGGAGCAGGAGGAGGACTTCAGCAGGCCTTCAGCACGCTCCACTCGGTGGGTGAAGACAACAGCAGCCTGGCAAAGCAGCCTGGTGTCCCCTGGAGCTTTCCAGTTGCTGGGCACCGTGATCTCACCCTGGATCTGAATCCCCTTTCCGGAAAGCAGCGGGCAAACACTGCGCTGTTCCTGCTGCACTGGGGTGGGGAGGCTGCCGTAAATCCTTGCTGTCGCGTCTAACGCCAGGCAGCTGATGGAGATGCTGCTCTGCTGCATGCGCCTCTCGCAGCCCCGTCCTCTCTCCGGGAGGGCAAACGCCCTGGGGTCGCTTCGATCCAAGGGAGGACTCGCTCTCAGCCAGACGTGGCTCCTCAGGATCCACCTAGAGAGCATCCAACTAGCGAAGGTGGGACTTGACGCTCCATCAAGAACAAGCCCCGGAGAGGCCCTTGCCTCCAGCACCGGGAAGGAGGGAGGCAGAATTGGCCCAGGCTGTCCACAATGCATCTCTCTGGCGTGACGCTGGGCTTTCCGGAGACGCTCAGAAAAACAAGCGTTGCTATTTGAGCTCTCTGGCTCGCTTCCTATCTAAACAGCAGGTTTGACTACCAGGAACTGTCAGTCTAGCCGCACAAAAGGTGGCTTGGTTTTTTTTTTTTCCCCTACTATTTATTTTTTGATAAATGTATCGTGGACACGAACGCGAGGCGCTTTCTGAGGTGGCGTTGCTTGTATTGAATGCCCGGTTCCAGGCTGAATCTGCTACGTGACACGCAGAAACGACAGGGGTTTGTTCTTCCCAGCAGCTGCGATGAGCCCGGGTTTCTTCCGCGTTTGCTCGAGGGACGACATGGTTCTAGCGTATGCGTGCTGGCAACAGAAAACCAAACAGGATTGTGAATCTGAGTTCGGTTTTCCAAGCAGGATCCTTACCTAGAAAGGCATTTTTCCTGCCAAAATAAAACACCTTCCCAAGCTTCCCAAGTGGTGCTGGAAAAAGCTGCCCACATAAAAACCACAGGGAGTACGGCCCCATCTCACCCACCTCGCTCTACCAGTGGCAAATCCCAGCAGGCTCAAAGGAGGGCACAAGAAGCCCTCATAGTTATCTGGGAAATTCCCCTTGCAAGCATGGAAGGTCTGGTTTTGAGATATTTTTCCTTAAAAATGCTTATTGACATAGTCGTGCAGCGCTGTTACTCATAAACACCCGATCTTTTTGAAGTCCTGTTAAGCTCAGGACCTCGGTGGTATCTTATGGTGAGCCCCTGCCAGGAAGGAGCTAGAAGTGAGAAGGGTCGAGATTGTTTTTTAGCAGAAGATCAGCACAGGATGAGGCCTTAACATCAGCACATTTCAAAGTGCTGAGCTGTGCTACAGAACCAAGCCAGCACCTTTCAAAAGGCCACGGCCAAAGCAGCATCCGTTCCAGAACAGTCCCACGCCCCGCGTGGCAGCAAGGCGCGGAATCGCTCTCCCAACGCACATCGGCAAGGGTGCGTGGAGCTGGGCCCAGCTGAGACTACCTTTTGATCCGTCTTCATCTTTGCCTTGTAGAACGAGACCGAAGCTGGGCAGGCTGGCAGCGTTGTCTCCTGCATCCGCTCAAATCTCTCCTGCTCGTCTTCCTCCTGCCAGCAGAAAGACAGACCCCACTCCCTGTGAAGAACACACGTCTGGAGACATAGAGGTCAACCAATCCCGTCTGCTGCATTGAACGCTGATTCAACGATCTCTCTGAAGCCTCAGAAGCCAGAGGTGGCCCCTTTCCACCCCTTGCGTGAGCAGACTCGAGCAGGACTTTGGGCAAAATCCATCTGCAAGTGTGAAGCCCCCAAGGGAGTTCCCTTCAGCTGTCTTCTGACGGCCATGCTCTGCCCATAACTACCCACAGGACAGTCTCCCTTCCACTGCAAGATAACGTCACGACTTGAAGGAGATTGGAGCTTCAGCATGGTCCCCTGTGAGCCCAGCTAGCTGATGCCCATGCCCACGCTTCTCCAGGGAACAGCCTCGGAGGCGTGAGCGCACTGGAGAGGAATGTGGGTTGAATGAAGTACAATTTTTTAAGATACCAGCTTGTATATAATGTTTTCATGCCAGATTTGAGGATAGCTCTAGTAGAGTCTTGGGCCACCTTCTGTGGTGGCTCCCGAGTAGCCTGGAGAAGGTGACGGTGAAATTCCGGTGTGACAAAAGGCAGGTGGCCAAACCGAATCAAGCCAAGAGTGAAAGATGCACACCCTGGAGAAACGGGTTAGAACAGTAAGTGAAGAGCCAGTTTGGAAAAGGGAAAATGGTTCCAAGCAGGAAACAAACCTCCAGAGCAAAATGAGGTGGTGCCCTCCCAGACCCAGTACGGGCCTCAGCACGGCCAGTGACGCTGACTGGGAAGCTGCAGTGAACTGCCCAGTAAAAGGAAAAAGAGAAGAAACCAGCACTGAGCAGCATCAGCAGGGACACTGTTTATCCTCTGCCCGAAGATTTCTGCCTGGAACATCAGCAACTTGACACAGCTGCAAAGCATAGCTAAAAGGCGTGCTTCATTCATGCATGAATGAATGAAGCTCCTCAATTGTATTGAGGAGCTACTGGAGAGAGCCCAGCGCAGGGCTACGAGGATGAGGAGGGGACTGGAGCATCTCTCCTAGGAGGAGAGTCTGAGGGAGCTGGGCTTGTTCAGCCTTGAGAAGACAAGGCTGCGAGGGGACCTAATATATACTTACAAATATCTTAAGGGTGGGTG